AGAAAGGGGAAGGTTCACAGGCCTCACAAGGCCTGAAGGCAGAAACAGAAGCCAGGTGTGGCATGTTTGTAATCCTAGTGCTGGAGAGGCTGTACCAGGAGAATCACAATTTCAAGCAAGCCTTGGCTACGAGTTCTAGGCCTCCCCAGGCTATGTGAGGTCTTGTCTCAAGAAATCATATAGCAGTCTAGTGGTGGTGGCACAGCTCTTCAATCCCAGTACTTGTTAGGGAGAGGCAGAGGAGGCAGAGAGAGAGGGATAAGAGTCAGAGGAAGAGGAGGCAGAGGCAGGTGGATCTCTGAGTTCGAGGCCAGCCTAGTCTATAGCGATAACTCCAGGACAGCCAGCAGTCAGGGGTACACAGAGAGACCTTGTCTTGACTGTCGCTGCCCCCACCCAAAGAAAATAAAAGAGCAAATCAAAACAAAACAAGACAGGTAGACAATGGGCCATAGGTTAGGTAACTCTTCTATAGGCGCGTTCTCTAAGTTGTGCGAAGGATTTCTCTGTGACGTGCCTTTGAGACATTCATGTGCCTGTAAGTAGCCCCAGTACAGGATCGACAGGGGTGGAAGCCTTTCTCAGCTCCATGGATGCCTTCGCTATCTGGAGTGCAGAGACATTTCTTTATACCCTCTCCCTCAGGAAAGGTTCCACATGAGAATCCTACTCTGGGAACCCCCAGTCTAGGAGTTCTAGATAGCTATTGTTACTGTTTCATAAGCCACTTTTCAAATTAAATGTGTAGACTCTTGTTCTGTGATATCCTCACAGAAATCACCTGAGCATTGGATGCCTCCATGGATTGCTGGTCCCAGCGTGTGGCATTCTCAGAATCCCTGACATTTGGACTAGAGCATCTCTCCATGTACCACTGTGACTGTCCCAGGGGTGGACAACGAGCCAGTCAGGACAGTTAGGATGCACTTGGAGAGTGTTTGCTGAACTTGGAAGACAGGTCTTCATGCACCCCAACCCCCACCCCTCAGGATGTAAGCTTACCAAGACCAGCGGCTTCTTTGTCGCCAAAATATGATTCAATATGTGCCGACCAAAACAAAACTGTGCCCATTATGGTCTAAGTGCCTTTACCCTGCACTGACAATCCATGCGCCTAAATGTTAGTCTCCAATGTGGTAGTGTTAGGATGTGGGGGCTTCTTGAGAGATGAGAAGTTCGGTTCAGACCATGAGGACAGAGTCACAGGCCATGAGGAGTCACAGGGAGGGTTCACAGAAGGAACCGACACTGGAGCTCCCGGTCTCCGTACACACAGGAGGAAGTCATGGGGGCACATATCAAGGTGGTGCCAACCAAAATCCTGGAGTGAGCCCGCACAAGTAAGCTTATCATGTCAGCAGCTTGACCCTAAACTCAGCCTCTGGGACTGGGAGAGGTCTGAGTCACCCACTCTGTACGATTTTGTGTGGTAGTTCAAGCTAAAACACTGTCTTGGGTTATATTTAGGAACACATACATACATATATACAACAACAATGACTGGAAATACAGGCCATGAATCTGAAGAAGAACATGCAGAGGCTACAGGAGGGTTTAGAGGGAGGAGCGGGGGGGGGGGGGAGAAATGTCGTAATTAGTTATAATGCCAATAATAAAAAAGATTTAAAAAAGAAAAATCTTTTTAAAATTTAAAGCCAACCAAATAGACACTGCCTTAGGATAAATTAGCACAGAAGAAAGTAGAAGCTGTAGATAGGAAATCAACTCTGACTCCACTAGTTGAGATCCTAGGTCCAGCCACCCCTGAAGCCCTCTGAACTTTTCAGTGACCAGGGCCTCCCTTCCCGTCAGCTTGTTTGTAAAGCCAGCTTTTCCTTCTTCATACACATCGACTTGACCATGAAGTGGGAAGTCAGAAAGAGCCACTTTGAATAGATGGCTCTTGGACAATCAGGTGTGTCCTCTGGGCTCTAGAGAGACACAGCACTGCTATGTGGGCTTCCCTTTACAAGACACATGTGTCTGAGAGCTGGCAAGTCTGGGAGTGCTGGAGCCCCCGGGCCGTGGATGGGGAACCAGAGTCAAAGTGCATCAGGTTGCCCTGGAGGCTGGGGTGGCTGCTCAGCACGGTGGGGGGGGGGGTCACAGGAGAATGGAGCTCAGAGCGGATGAGCTGTCCGGTGTCCCCCCCAGCTGGCTCGCTGCCTGATGACTGTGCTTCAGAGTCAGGTCTCAGCCTGTCTACCCCATGCCCTGGTCACCTTCACTCCATATACTGCTTTTCTGGTTTCTGTGATCAGATACCCCACAAGAAAGCACCCTATGACGAGAGCACTTATTTTGTCTCAGGGTTAGGGTACACTCTCATGGCAGATGGTGGGGGTAGCTGAGATCTGGGTGGATCGGGGAGCAGAAGGGGAGGTCATTGGGAAGCAGAGGAGGGTAATAAAATCAAGCCTTCCCCCACACAGTGATTCACTTCTTGCAGCTGGGATGCAACTCCAGTGGTCCCCAAACCTCCCAAATCATCACCACCAGCTGGGGACCAAATGTTCCAACATATAAGCCTTGGAGAGGTGTGTCGTATCTCAAGGTCTCCAAACATGACCTTGAGCAGACAAGGCGAACCCTCAGTTTGTTCCTGAGCTCTGTCCACCCGTGTCTCTCCCACGATCCTGCTCCATCTTACCCCTGGACCCTGTACCTCCAAACTCTCTCTTGTATCTAACCTCATCCCCAGGCTCTTCTACTGTCCCCTCTGATGTCACCTACCTCTAGTGGCTCCCTTCTTCCTTTCCCAGCCATACCAGCCACATTGCTGCTCTGCCCAGAGCATGCGCTTGCAATTCCCTGCTTCCCACCAGGGCCTGTGCCCTGCCTTCATCTCGCATCTCGGACCACGTCTTCCCCTTCTGTCCTTTCTCAGCTTCACCCCTCTCCATAATCACTCGTGTCACGCACTCTCTGTCCCTTGCCCCCTCCTAGGTGGTGCTCTCGAAGGAATATAATTTATGTGCTGCTGAATCCCTAAGACCTAGAAGAGCACTGGGGACATGCCAGTATCCCAGGAATAAATGAAGAGCCAGAGAGAACTGAATGCACACGAGACACTGCCTTCCTCTCTCAGACCAACAGATGCCCTGAAGCTCCCTGGTGCTCCATCAACACCATGTCAAAGATGTGTAAAACAATGGAATGCATCTGTGTGTGTACACATGCATGCTCGCTCATGCACATATGCACAGTGACTGTATGTGTGTGTGTTCTAGAAATGATTAGTTCCAGACACAGACAGGATTAGAAGACAAGAACAGGGGGAACACTGTGGCTTTTTAGAAAAAAACATCTTGACCACATGTTCACATGTCACTATTCTTACCTGAGCAGGTCTAGATGGGGGTAAAGGAGAGGACCAGCTGTGAACACGGCCCTAGAGTTCAGTGACAAACACTCAGGAGACAATGAGATGTGCTGAACGCTGGGGAGGCTGTGAAGAAGTGAACCCCCACTTTCTGTGGATCACCATGGCAATCAAGGCAGCTCTTTGAAAAGGACGAAGACTCAGGAGTGTGACTAGTCCCAGGGAAAGAGCGTGTGCCCTCCCTGCCATACGCCATGCCCTCTCTAGCCCTCACATGACGGCCAGTCGGTGCTAAGAACATCGTTGCCTAAAACTGAGACAATGCAGAAAACAGCAAAACTCACACCCCCCAAGTGCGCAAGTGGGGAAAATGAGATGCGCGTGTAAAACAGAACTTTATGTAGCAGGTGAGGGAACAGATCAACCCTACAGGAGCCAAAGAGAACACTGCATGGAATGACAGGGGGCTGCAGAGCGAGAGCGGGTGTTCTCTCTCTCTCTCTCTCTCTCTCTCTCTCTCTCTCTCTCTCTCTCTCTCTCTCTCTCTCTCTCTCTCTCTCTCTCTTTCTCTCTCTCTCTCTCTCTCTCTCTGTATGTTGAGGCTATGCTGTTTATTGCCTCTGTTGTTTAATAAACCATTTGCGGTGTGTATATGTGTGTGTGGTAGGCCGTTGATTGCATATTTATTGTATGCTTTATGCCATTTCTCTGTGTGTGAAGCCATGTTGAATTGTTCTGTGTCTGTACACTGTGGTGTGTGTGGTGTCTCATTCTCCCCAAACCCTCACAGAACTCCGGAGACGGCAGTTACTGCAGACATACAAAGCACAGTCCCACCCTGTCATCGAAGCTGGAACATTTTCTAGATTCTTCTCTGTCCTCCCTACCCTGGAGCCCCTCTCCGGTGCCCTGGCCCAAGCCATTTAGGACTTTGAGGATGCAAACTGATAGTTCACAACTCAATACACTGATCTAGTGGGGGGCGGGGGGGGGGGGAGAAGAAAGGCAAGAGTGGAATTTATCAGACAAGCAGCTTCTCCAGTAAAAGTTCGCTGGTTGCAACTAGCTGGGTCTTGGAAGGGCAAGGCTGAGAGCAGGCAATCCCAGGGTGATAAAAGGTCAGCATTACCCACCCTTACCTATAGTGAAACCCTGCCCAGGCAGGCCTGAAGTCAACTCCACCTGGTCAATGTTAAATTCTTTCTTTTCTTTCCCAGCAAGAAGGGGGCCTTAAATCTGTTTTGATTAAGCCAGCAACTACGATGTTAATAAACAGTGCCCTATCTTTTATCACTTGGAAGTTTGAAGCATCAGGGCCATGAGCACAGAGGATTGTTCATGCGATGCCTGTGTTCTTTCATTTTCTGGCAGTCTGGGAGACTGGGTCTGTGGCTTTGTAGTTAGGCATTTCTACCACTGAGCCATAGCCCCAGCCTCAGATCACGCTTGGGAGCCTAAACCCAGTTAGTTCTGTGGTTCTCAGGCCACCAGCCCTACACCCTAGGAACTAATTTAAAGAGGGGAAATGAAGGAGACACTAAGATCTTGGGTCAGCTGTGCCGTTGAGAGTAACTACACAGGCTGCCTCCCACTTTCCCAGGGTTTTCAAGTGAGTGCAGAGAGAAACGAGTCATCTAGGGATGGTTAAACCGGAACGTCCATGGTCATGCCCACTTACCTGAGACCTGAGCAAGTGCTGAGGCTGACCATTGAGGCCGCATCTCCTTGCACGTGTCCGTGGTAGTAACAGTGATCCTAAAAGACAGAGAGGGGAAATCAGTTAACACATCTTCCTTTCACCTAGGATAACCCAGCTTCCTCTAGTCCACACCCCTATTCCTTTACTTATAGGACATGTTATACCATATTACATGGGTAGTCTTAATGTTTACTGCTAAGCCCAATGTGGCTCTTCCAGGGTCTATGGTTAGCACATCAGACCTCCTTAGATATTATCAGCAGGGTTCTGATATGCCTGACCGGCCTCCACTCTCACCTGTTGGACCCCACCCACCCTGGGAAAGCCCTGATGCCCACGGTTGTATAAAGCGCAGCAGCAGAAAAGATCACGTTGACATCCTTGGTTTACCCTCATGTAAACTGTCTCTGGTAATGAGATGAGGAAGTGGATGGGATGTTTAAGCACACTGTGAAATGCAATAAAACCAGGCCTGAATCAACGGCTTAGGAAAACAGCCGAGCAGATGGGGGCTACTAAGGAATGAAAGATGAGAATTCCCAGAATCGCCCACATTCAGCTCGGCAGGAAGGTCACTGAGGGAGGTCTCGGAAGAATAAAGAAATCCTTATAGGATAACTCTAACATTCTCCAAAGCAACCACAGCTCAGATGCCTCCTGGGAAGACAGAGCTCTGTCCAGATTCATGGTAGTTACGCTGTTGAAAAAAGGCTGGGTCACAGCTCCAACTAAGCAGCTGATTGGCAAGGAATGGCTGCTCACACGCCACAGTCCTCACCCAGGCATTCACAATGCCAGCAGCATGCTGACTCTTTGCAGGAAAGGGACCTTCTAAGTGACAGTCAGGTCTCAGTCGGCCTCCACCATACCCACGTCAGCTCTTGGTGGTGACAAGCCATTCACAAACACTATCTCTACCTGGCTGAGAAAAAGGACTGGGGTTGGAAAGATGGCTCGGTGGCTGAACGCATTTGCTGTTCTGCCAAGGACCCAGATTTGGTTCCCAGCACTTGGTGCCTCACAACCATCTGCAGTTCAGTTCTAGGGGAGCTAATCTGATGCTCTTTCCAGCCCCCAAGAGCTCCTGAATGCATGTGGTGCACATGCAAACACACATACACACAATCAAAAAATGGTTAAAAATAAACAAACGAGAAAGACCAGGTGAGGTTGAGTGGCAAAGGGAAAGCCATGACATCATGAGAAATTGGCTAAGGTCACCTCAACCACATAAGAGGATAAATCCTTGGGTCATCTGAAAGGCAAAGGATGGAGATGAGAAGGCTGCAGGGAGACAGGTTTTAATCTCTCCTACTGATTTTAGAGCCATATATATATATATATATATATATATAGGATATTAATATTTTAACCTCATACTTGTGTAAGAAAAGCCCTTTAACACGAACATTATTGTCAGAGTTCCTGGCTTTATAAATTCAAGTCTCTTCCATGTACCCTGCCCCCATGGTTTTCTGTATTATTAAAGGCAGCTTTCTTTGAGGTCATGGGTACATGCCTTTTATTTTCTTCTGTTTACACAGTCTCGAGACTGGCTCTCTACTCTACCCGGGATTTATTTCCATCCTGGAAGTACAGGGCGTGTACGACTTCCCCTCCACCAAAGGCAGGCATTATCCACCACAGCTCATCGGGTTTTCTCCCCGACTTTCTGCCATGTGCTGTGTCTGTGACTTTTCTTGTTTCTGTGACCTGATAGAAACAACTTCCAAGGAGCAAGGACTTCTTTTGGTTCACAGTCCATCACGGCAGAGAAGGCACAGTGGAGTTCTTAGTAGAGGGAGGCTGCTTGCTCACACGGGACAGCAAGGAAGCAGAGTGTGGCCCCACCCCAGTGACCTCCAGCAAGGAGTCATGTCTAAAGGTACTACAAGTCCCCCCAGACAAGTGCCATCAGGTGGGGACTGAGTGCGCAAGCACGCGAGACATCAAAACCAGAGCATATGGGAATACTCAGGGTATGTCCGTGGCTCTTCTCTGTTTTACAGTCCACCAAGGAATGCTCAACTGTCCACTCCTAAGCCAATACCACTCTCTTAATCACAACTGTTTTACATGACAATTGGATACCCCGCAGAGCTGACTCTTTTCAAATCAAGACTTCACTCCCATACCACACATCTGTTTTAAAGCTCATCATGTCAGCATCTCACGGTGTTCTGTGTCAAGTACAGGGAGTACCTGAAGTCCTCTGCCACTGAAATCCATAAGGATGCACAATGACCACCACAATCTCATCCCAGAGCATTTTAATGACCGCTCAGAGACACCTGGAGCCCCGCAGTCCCTCCCTCACCACCCCTGGCAACCACTAGCCTCCTCTCTGTCTCTATGGATTTGCTCGCTCTGTTCCTCTCATGCAAAGAGAAGCCTGCAGCACATGGCCTCGTGCCTGGCTTCTTTCATCCAGCATAATGTTTTCCAGGTTCCACCATGAACTCTGCGTTTTCTTGCCGAAGAGTATTTCGGTGCACACACTGCAGTGTGGACAGCTGGTGTCCAGAGGCCAGGACTGGAGAAGGAATTACCTGCAGCTGGGAAACTGCAAAGGCAGTGGGTAACGGAGGGAGCACGCAGTTCAGGGGAGAGGGGGGAGGAGATGCGGACACAGGCCTGTGGAGTACTTGGTGATCTGTCTTCTAGGAGGCTGTCCTCATCAACAAGCAGTGGGTTAGTCCAAGACACTTGGGGGGACTGAAAGGGACGGGGGCTGCCCAGGCAGCCACATCAGAATATCAAGGAGGGAGGACACATGGCTGCGAGTGTGCCTCCTTGCCATCTGGGTAGATTTGAAATGGCGCTGTGGGTGTGTAACTCTCAGGGGAGTTACTGGCTCATCACGGAGGATGCTTGTAACTGGACTGAAATATCCTAAGGCATCAAGGGATCACGGTCCCCTTCTCAGGCTGTGGTATACAGGGTGGGTTGTGGGATTCTAGCACAGCGCACCTGTAGGCATGTCAAAGCTGAAGGTGACTCTCAATCGAAAAGGACAGTAGCTGCTGTTGGAGTCTAGGATGCCCGGTGATCGCTGACCTTCGAGATCCATCTTAGAGTCCCGCTTATGGGGGGAGAGGGGAGGGAAAGCCAAGTGGTGACAATAATTACCGAATTCTGAAATTGGAAACCCATTTGTTCCCAGGCTCTGTTGTTAATGGGTTATTTATCAAGTGTACTTTCTAATTAAATATACAGGACTACATGCTCATTAAAGCATGAGCTGAGAACAAATGGGTATCAAATTAATTTCCAGTTCGATAACTTGAAATATTGCCTTTAGGAAGCAGGGGAAGCGGGGTTTAGTGTTCATAAACTCTTGCTTGAAGTCAACAGCCCTACTCATCTTAGTTGTCAGCCGAGTCCACGACTTACTTCTCAATTTACGTGAGTTAGACAGCTCCCAAGCCCCTTGCTCACTCCTGACAGGGATTAATCTCTTCGACTGCAAACCACAGTTCCCAGATTCTCCCAGACAATTCCAGTTTCCTGAAATTTAGTTTTTTTTTCAACATGACTCACCACATGTAAATGAACATGATTTCATTTTGATGATGCTATGAGTCACCGTCTGGATAATTCCATGACTCAAAAACACAGTTGGCTCCTCACGTATCATATTATCGGTTGGGAAACTGGATGACGGAAGTGGCAGAGATTACATTCTGACCATTGGTAAGTTGACTCCTAAGGCCCGGTCAGACGTAACGAGATCTTTACAGGTAGTAACCATGATCAGAGACCAGCAAAACCCACTCGTGTCTACAGGAGAGTGTGTGCCTCTGTCTGAGCTCAGGTAGTCCTTATGTAACGATGCTCATATGCAGGAACCAATCAGATCTTTGGGGATCATGAACACTGGTCCCTATGTAACGATGCTCACATGCAAGAACCAATCAGATCTTTGGGGATCATGAACACTTGGCCCAGAGATTCTGATGTGCCACACAGCAGGGAACATGACAAGCAGCCAGTGTTCAGAGAAGATCTGTGTCCAACCCAGGGAACCCTGGATCTGTTACCACAGTGGCCCTTGCTGGGTATCTGAGGCTCCTGGTCTCTGTACAGTCTTTCTCAGACCTCAACCCTTTCTTCTCTTTGATTGCCTTCAAAGCATCAAACCGCACAACCTCCCAAACCTAAAGATGGTTCTGAACGAGACCATGCCCTCCCAGGACCATGTCTTTGATTCGTTCTGCTGACCCAATGCATTCTATTTCTCCCAACAAAACCTCGTGTGGAAGAGAGTCCTGGACATGCACAACCACAAAATTACACCTCTCTCTTCACAAAAGCTCTAACTGTGCATTTTATATACTTATTATTTAACTGAATGCCTTTTCCCACTCCAGTAAAATACCATTTTCCTTCTGTTTAATACTATCAATCAAACCTAATGGTGGGTAACAGGAAACTGGAGTAACAACTCTTGAACCTGAAAATTGGTAGCCCTCAACTCCGTGCCCTGCGGGAAGTCAAATCAAACTTCCTGCTACCCCTCCATCCGTGGACTAGAAAGACAGGGGTTTTATATGCTGAAGTGGTAACGAAAGTGGCCCGACCTTGCAATTTAAAAGGGTTTCTAGCAGACAGAGTCTGGGAGGGCATGCTGAGGGGATGGTGTTTTCAATGTGCTCCCAAAGGCCTGGGCCACCCCTGCTACAGGCAACATGGTGGCCCCCTCTGATTCAAATGCTTGAAGGCAGGAAGTTAGTAGCTGGAAGGAGGCTTGGGGCCATCTAAGGCCAGTCTTTCTTTTCTAGCTAATTTCTTGCCCAAAGGATGTGGAAACTGAGGTCATGATGGTTAAGCTGCCATTACTGGTCACAGAGGTGGCTGATGGCAGGGCAGGACCTCAAACCCAAGCCTCTCCACTCCAGGCAGGCTTCCCACTATGCCTCACAGCTGGACATATGCCCTGCCCCCTCATGGGCCTCTGCTTTTGAGAAGAAAGCTTCCCCCTACAATGGAAACCGTGCACTCCACACTTCGCTGCAGGGCCTCATCATGACAATGACATCACTCATGGGATCATAGG